TGGAGGAGGAGAGGCAGTGCTAGGTAGAGGAAGGGAAGAGTGGCTACCTGAGGCTAGACTACTAGTTGTATAATTTGGGTTAGTAGAGCGAAGTACTGCATCAATATGCCTAACTTTAATTAAGTATGATGTCAGGTCTGTAGGTAATGGCTGGCGGAGCATCACACGATTCTGGATCTGGGCTTTTATGTTCGGGTGAAGAGAGTCATATAAATGATTGATTAGAGCATTTTTGGAGAGTTTCGTTTTTTGGGCTACTTCAAACCAGTCAGAGATACGTGTAGCCGTATCTTTTCGGCCCTGTTTTATAGTCAGGATTTGACGGCAAGCAACATTTTGTTCGTCGATGTCGGCAAATGCTTGTTTTAAGAGAACAAGAATTGCATCTATTGAGGCAAAATTAACTGTGCCGTTCCTATTAATTCCATAAGCAATTGTGAAGTAGGCTTTTCCTTTTAGACGAGACAATAAGTACAACATCTTGCTCTGCTCTGTGGGGTACCAATCTTCATTTGCGATGAACTTCATGTTAATTTTACGAACAAAGAAAGGTAGATTCTTTCGCAACTCAGCATTATCGGCTGAGAAGATGTCAGGTTCCGGGTGTTCGGCTGATCGGAACTGGCTTGTAGGTAGTTCATTTTTTTGTGTTAAAGGCTACTATTGTTCTAGGTTCTCAATCTGGTGCTAGAGTATTGTATTCTGTTGTTGGAGAGTAGCGACTTGTTGTTGGAGCTGCAAACTACTTTGGCTTCGCGCTTTTTTCTGTGATTTAAGCTTGGAATTTACGTCTGCAAGATCTTGGTTCTCTTCAAACAGAGTATCATACTCGTTTTTCAGCCGACAAGCTTCTTTATCAAGTTGGACATGAGCATTTGCAAGATCCATAATTTCATCACTGAGCGCTCCTGGTGTAACCTCCGGAATACCTCCCGTCATAGCAGCAGTGAAAAGATTTTGATTTGGGACTGTACAAAAGAGGGGGTATCTCTGAATAAAAACTGCATCTCTTCCATCGAATTGATCTTGTATGCGGATGTTAGGATGCGCCGGCATCCTAGTGCCATCAGGGTTCCAAGGGTTATTTTCTATTCTAATTTTTACTTCAATATGACTCAGAAAATATAAATAGGTTTATTCTTAGGCTTGAATGTATATATAATTTGAATTTGAAATGAATTTAGTGTATAGAAATTTGTTTCCCAGTTATGTGACTTAAAAATCTTCAAACCCAAACTTTGTTAAATCTGGGTTGATAGATTTGCTTATTTATTTTTATTTTGTTTAACATTTACGCGCAAGGACAATAATTCACAATGTTTTAGTAGACAATATGTCACAAGAAGCTTTATTAGCTGGGATTGACGAGGTCTAATGTTGTTGAATGAAATTTTCTGCGAGGAAGGAAAAAATTCTAGATATCTACAAAATATATATTTACAGTGAGTCGCTGTTTTGATTAAGTGAGTTCATGTGACTTATGCGAATCGTCCGTTTCCTGACATGTATGAAGCTATATACAAGCTCGCCTAACTAGTATACTAGTGACATATGCTGTGGCCTTAAGCCACTCACAATGCTCTAGCCTCGGCTACTTCGGTGTCTAATATCATAACACTGGCACGCTCTAAATGTAAGCAAAATTTGGATTGGTATTTACGCTAATTGGAACTACTGATAGCACTTTTGTCTACATTTTGACTGAAATATCCCACAGAATTTCCGTAATTTGGAGTCAAAGAACGACTACTGCCAATAGGACAGTCATCAAAATCGATTTATCAATGACTAGATCAAGAAGTAAGTTTAAACAAGTGTAAATTGAATTTTATATTACAAAGCAATTTTGTAGTCTCATTGCGTGATCTGCGAGTGAGTAGGCCTCATTTTCACCCAATAACGTGTTAGATTTTATTACACAATTTGGAGATATTATCTTACAGACTGACTAACAAGCCATGATATTATTGGTATTGTAACTTGAGTAAAGAATATTTCGATTTCTAGATGTATCAGAGATCGTAGACAATATGCATATGAAATAACCTTATTTGTAGATTACAGCTGCGTTGAAAGAGTAGCAGGGGAGGGTATACGACTTAATGATTAGAACGTGTGTGGTGCACGGCAATTCGTATCTGATAATTGTGCCGAAGACTCTTAGAGATTGAGAGTTGGTTATTTTGTTGTCATACGTGCTCGGCAATTAGCTTCCCCTAGAACCCCTTGAGTTTTAACACGAATTGTAGTGGTCTGAATCAGGCTGAGTACCATGAGCAGTATATAATACCTCATTTCACCTGATAACAAAAATAATCTTCGCTCTGCCTAGATATAGAATCAGGGAAGGTCTAATCGACTAGACGTACAAAGCCTGCTTTGGATTCGATCATCACCCAGCCAAGTCTAGTAAAATCTCTCCATATTAATTTTCTACTTCCCTTTAATAACTTTATTGTAAAATCTCCTTGATATTTTCGACATCAGTTCCATCTTGGGAACGTGATAAACTGTTCAACCTTCTGACCATACACTGTCACTGCTGTACCCCTAGCTGTGAAGATTGAAAACGCGAATAAAGACTCACGGTTGAGTCTCTAGCTGCCCACTTTTCGCTGGATGCTATGGCTAGTCTTCCAATGAATTCTCGTTCCTATCACGTCAATGGCAATCGGACTGTGGAAAATTTTCAGTATTCGGCTGGTTGTGAACGTTTTCGGGGGTAGGGGGGGGTTATGCAGACAATGATTTCGTAACACGCTAGATTTTTGGAGGGGTTGATGTCTATTCGTATCATGGATGGCAAAACTCCTTTCGGGTTTTTGTAACCTTCGGTTGATGGTGAGACGTTCGTGAAGGAAATTTTCAGATGTGTTCACCTGTATTGTAGATATAGCAAGCATGAACTATAAATCTCTATTCACAGGAGATATATGGTCTGCAATATATAATATGACCAGGGCAGCGAACCACCGCGCACTGATTTTGAGGCAGATTCATCTATACTTGAGTGATATGCTGTAAATAGGTAAATTAGCCGAGTCAGGAAGTCGCTGAGAAAGAGTACCGTATAGATCAAGTACTGTGTCATTATTTTGAAACTAGGCTTGAGCGATACGCAGACAGTGGACAGCGTGGCTGGGTCAAGGAGTCTCATTCGCAGTTCACATAGCACTGGCGCAATTGTCTGAAGTTAAGACTAGCACGAGAAACGTGTATATGACTGAACGATATATATGTTTAGATAGCATTAATTAGCATCATTAACTAATTGATAATATTTCGATGAACTGCTGTAGACTTTCCGAGAAATTTCAAGACGATCAATAGGTTCAGCTGCTTCACAATGACACCTAGGCAGATAAGATTTCATATTTCGTTTGTAAATGGCTGAGAATACAAGGCTTTGCTGATTTTCGAAGTCGTGAGAGCTCGGTAGGTCGGGTTTTGATTTGATTTCATTTAGCCCGTTCAGGTACCCTATGGGCCCATGCAGGTATAACTAGCTATAATATTTACACAGGAGGAAACCATATTCGGTAAAAACCCCCTACAACTGTCTGTCTCGTGTCTATTTTGTTTGTGAGGTTTCCTACAGGAAGTGCGATTACACTGTTTATACAGTGTGAAATCTGCCTTATCCTTGTCCACATCGTCTCATCCTTTCGTCCAATGCTATTTCTACTTCTCCTGCAAGCCGGAATTGTTCAAACCAGCCTTTTGCCAGGATCCATTTAGTTATTCTCTCTATGTCATCTGGGCTGTTCATCATTGCCGCAAATGACCTATATTTTGCTTTTTGAAGCACCTCTCCTCTTCCCATGGCCCACTGAGGACACGCCAAGACCATATGTTTGACATTTTGAGACGGATATCCACACTGACATTTTGGATCAATCACTCCGGGAACTTTCCTTCGATACAGATAAGAGTTGAGACCAATGTGCTCACTTCTTATCTGAACTGCAATACTGCTTTGGGCCCTACTTAGGTTTCGGTGGATGTTTGAGGGTGTGTTTCTATATGTAATCCTTTTTCTGCCTGTTGTCTCATCTGTAGCAATATTTGCGAGTTTCCAATGTTCAGGGTCTACCGAAGCTCGATGACCAGATGGTATCTCGTTTGCTGGACGTGTCCATGAGTTTTTCCACTCCTGGAACGCGGCCACCTTACTGGCTTCTTTTTGTCTCCCTTTCTCATTCTCCAGGCCACAAATTCTAGTCCATTCTTCAATGTCTTGCTTTCGATTCTTGTCGTGCCTGTTCTCTGTTCCCCTTGTAGTATGCTTGACCGGTAGGTCGGGTTATATTCAAAAAGAAGTCAACATAACTCATACCGATTGCAAGATCTTTTGGAAACTCTCCTTTTAATCCATTTCGTGGCTGGATTTAGGCTTTGCCAAAGTATTATACCCTCAAAATCATAACAAAGGTTGTCAAGATGGTGATCGAAACTGGTGGTGCCAAATTTTAAGGTAGTAGGACCTGTTTTAATCTCAAGTTATCAGTATGGCTCTAAAGCTCTATGATGTTAAGTCTAAAGCCAGAGTCATGTTGGGTTATCGCTGACCCGATTACAAACCACATAAGGAATTCATGGCTACCAATTGTTATTGGTGCGTGATCGTCACGAAGTTGAGAATTTAATTTCTAAGGCAAAGGAACTTAAAGAGGGCTAAAGATCGCGCGACATATTAGATGATCTCCAGCTTCTTCACATCCACGAGACTTAAACATGAGACGGAGAGACTACCAAATGCTGACATTTGAATATCGCTCTTCGTACTGAATCTTTGTAGCGATAATAGCCTCAATCTAAAAGTTCACTGTCTGGTCTAGACGCCAAAGATTCGGCACGGAGGAGAAAAAGCAGAACAGCGACTGTATAGAATTTGTTCTCCAGCGAGTGACTTTAAATAAAGCTACAGGCCGATGGATTGCAAATCGGGCAACATGGAGGCACTCATCTATTGTCTAGCTACTGAAGCAATGATCCGCATATTATGCCATGCGCACTCGTTGCTCGAGCTCTTCGTGAAAGCCTGGAACCCTGCGGGTCTCGTCGCCTTTGTATATATCTTCCCACTGGCAGCTTGTATCATTGCCCATTAGAATATCTTCATGGATGCTTCGTTCCGTCCCCCCCCCGAGGCATGCTGGCTTCCAGTGGCCGTCTCGCGTCATCTTCAACTCCATGCCGCGGCGAATAGGCTCGGCCATGCCAAAGGTGCGCCGCAAGCCTTCCATCTTCAAGGCTTCCTGAGTCTCCTCCCATTTCTTGAGACGCGTCTCGAGCGGATGCGCGCTATCAGGAGCGCTCGAGAGGCCATGCTGACTTTGGGTCGGACCGACGCCGGCACGTATTAGGTCATGCACGCCGGGTGCCGACGGCGCGCCCCTCGACGAGGGAGGGAGATGGGTAAAGGTATCAGAGTGGGTAGTTGGTGGTGCGATCCGCATAGCCTGGCTTAGGGTTAACTTAAGAATGTGGTTGGGAAGCTTCGCCTTGAGAGCACCCTCTGAAGCCCACTTGGTCAGGCCAGACATTGCCTATTCGGGGACAGCTCACCATTTTGTTTTATATAGAGCCCGTAATGGACGTCAAGAGATACTTGTATAACTTATTCTCGATATTTCTTTGTATTTGGAGACTTTGTGGGTGACGGTTGTATCGTAGCCTTCTGGTGATGAAATTATTAGCTAATATCATAATGTAGACGCAGACTAAATGTTTCCCCACGCTAGCGAATAAATACGATAGATTTATGAATTTCCTGGTTCGATCCATTTTCGATACTAACCGATGAAGCCGATGTCATTGCACATCTGTAATAAAATTCTCCTCGCTCAATTTGTTTGTATTTATTGTCCTAACGAATACATTTTTACATCAGGATATGTAGGTTATCTTTGCACTAGGGCCAAGGAAACTCATGCCTCGGGTAGCGTACCTTCAACCTTGCCTCTACGCCTCCCATTCAACAGGGCCACGCCTCAGAAGTCATAATTCCGTCGTGTACTTAGAGGACCTTTCTGCTTTTCAAAGCCACCCCCCTTGGACCCACAAGGGCCATATGCGAATGTATGACAGCCTGCAAATTTTCCAAACTACTAGGCATCGGGCTCCACTAATACCAATACTGTAACTAAATCCGTAGAGAGCTAAATTTTGAGGATCCACCTGAGGCCGAAAAATCGGGCGCAGTAAACCGGTATACCCTCAAACCTGTAACTCTCCCCCGATTCATGGCGCAGGGTGCAGCGAGGTTTATGATCGCACGTCAGGAGAGCCTTGGCCAATCCCATTTGCCAAGGACCCCAGAATCTTAACTCAAGGCGCGGGTGACGAGTGGCTAGGGACACTGAGAGGTAGAGGAACGATTCAATTCTCTGACGAATCTCATGGGCTTGGTTTCGTAGATGGAGGGAAAGCAGGACGCATAATCTAAGTTAGGGATTCCCGCCGACTCTGCCCAGTAGCCGGAGCCCGGCGCTCCACAAGAATATTGTCTGTTCTGAAACGTGCTTTCGCTGCCGTGGGCGGGTCCGCATTATCCGAATACCTACCAACCCGAGTCGGATGTGAACACCACCCAATTGCCCTGTCTCAGAGTCACTCGAGACTCTTTGCCCAACATTCCTTGCCCAAAGTGCTGCGCACACTCGCCACATTGACATACTACACATCTAAAGGCTGCACTGCAATCGCAGAGCCCGACTGTCTGGTCGTGGAAGCTCAGAGAGCTGTTGCGTGCTATCTAGAGATACTGATCTTCGTGAGTGGCTGCACTAGGAGCGCATCTAAAGATAGTAATAGTCCAATCATTTCGCGTGAGATGAAATTATATTGAAAGATTGAGCATCTGAATCCAATACTACCCATTGCTCTTAATAGATTGGCCTTTTGTATGGTCAGTTGGAAATGAAAGATAGGTTTAGAGCTATGGGTAGTTCAACTCAATCCATCTGTTTCCATGACTTCAGCTATGCTCGTAGAGACAGTTACGCATGTTTTAAACGAAAAAGCAAATCGGGAATGAAGCCTTAATTTTCATCTACCCAGGTAATCTGTCTTTTATCTCTCCCAAGCAGCCTTTGAACTGGATTCACCCCGATTCCAAATTGCCAGTCCCGTGGCATAAATTCCCCCACTGCGGCTAGAGTAAAAAATACAACCGAAAGATACATGTTCATAAACTCCCATTCAATTCCCCGTACGCCGGTACAGCAGTTAATTTATCGAGCAGCCCAATTTCCACATACAAGTGATTTTATGCAGATATTTCGAATATATTCAGGTTTTATTTACTACATTATCGCACAGCGACAGCCGGCAGTAGCGTCTCCATTGTCCCGATCTTTGGATAGAATTTTGCCTTTTGACGCATCTTCATCGTCGACAAGATCCTGTGGACGGACAGTCATGTGTATTACGTTTGAGGATTCTTTATTTAGCCTACAATCTTCATGGAAACTATCAGTAAATTTTTTGTGAAATTTCAGGACAAAAGGAATGGAGAACATACTCAGCAATGCCGTGTTGTCATCTAGTAAGCGTCCGAAGAAAATGAGACGTATACTACTTGGACTACTGGGCTGCAGTTCCCATTCATCTCTCCATTCACGTAGGATCAACTCCTTTAGTGTGTAGACACTAATACTATATGGGTCTTTTTTTCCGTCTTCTGTAGTACCGGGAATCGTTACATTCCGACTTGAAAGGTATCTCTCATCGATTTTATATGGATGGCGCTTCCCGGAGGTCAAAAGCAAGGTCATTGCTAGGACGGGGCCCAATGAAGTTAGGGATGGCTGCCCATTTGGGCTCACAGGACTCAGTACCATGGTAGCACGAGACGTTGGAGCCAAGGGCTTCACAGCTATGGAGGATGAAATAGCGTTGGGTAGAAAGGGATCCGCCAAGTTAGGTGTGAGATCACGCTCTGCTTTCCTGCTGGCTTCTGGAATCGGGTCGGGTGTGGACAGAAAATTTGCTGGCATACTATCCACCAGAGGTATAGAGACTTCGTAGGCATCTAAATGGTGCGCTTCATCTCGAGTATTCATGACGGGAAGGTGAGCGTAGTGTCAGGCCACGATATTTACCAGAAGATGTGGGCCGAGAGCTGATAGTGGAGCAGGCCAAGAGACGCAGCACCGAGTGGTTGGTGCTTATCTGCTAGAAGCTGGTGCAGTCGAGATCTCACTTTGGGGATCACGATTACGAGACCATATAAAATTTTATCGGCGAGGTCCTTAACTGAGAGTGTCGGACTAGTTAGGGTCTACTTGAGACCCTAAGATAATGCACGACCGGAGGTATGGAGAAACTGTAATGAGTATGAAGGACTCGTATTGATTCTCGAACGGGCTAGATGTACTAGAAAATAGTCTGAAAAGCAAACAACGGTCCAAGTTGTAGAGGGTAATGCGAAGAGGGTCTGATGCGAGTCAATGATGGTTGTGGTCCTGAAAATGTCGTTGTAGCTAAGCAAGTGACGATAGACAAATCTGGGGCGGGATTGATCAGGGGAGAGCTAAAATCTTGTGAGTGTTTGAAATGGCAGTCGCTGCAGGATAGAAGAACCCACAACTTGAGACTTTTCACCTCACTTTGGCCAACACTCACTCATTGACAATGTCATATGCTACAACCTCTCTCTCTTGCGCGCGCGCACCCCAACGCCCAAGCACACCCTTGGCTAGCAGAAGACAAATTTCCCTCGTTGGGTCTGGCGTAAGACGTGGATAAGAAGGCTCCCCCTTGCTCGCTTTGCTGTTGCTGGCGCTAACTTGCTTGCACTGGAATCTCGCACAGATTCAACCACTCACATACACAATCGCACTAACATGTTCCTCCTCCCCTCTATTCTTTACTTAACATAGGATCCTTCTAGCTTTCTCCAGTCACAACTAATCTTCTTCTCCCACTACCTCTCTTGCTTTCATTTGATCGGCCAATTTTATTTCTTCTTTTGGTCCTTTCCCCGGTCTCTGATCCTCCTCCCCTTTTTCCTCTTGCACATCTCTGGCTTCATGATTGCTGCTATCCAAACTGACTGTTTTCTTTTTCTGCTTCAATATTCTGCGTCACCGGACCACACCCTCAACTCTCAAATTACTCATGCATAGCTCTAAAAATCTTTACCAATACCTAACTTAGCGAATGCTAGCCTACTCGTATCAAGGAACACTCTATCCTAGCGAAACTTTCCTTCAACAGCTATCAATTTCTACGCTAGAGACATCCTGGAAACGAATTCTAAATTGATTATACAACAAAACTCTTGGTGCAGTGGAGCTTTTGGGAATGTGACGAAGGCATAATATTGGGCCACCGTGGCGATTACAAGCCAGTTAGACCCACCCACAGCGCTTTCTCAACCCAAATCAAGGTGTCTGATGGTAGATTTGGGGTAGTGAGATCTGTGAACCAGATATCAAGATTCAGTAGGATCAGCGAGGTGTGGAGCTCATCAACATCCAAACCTCGGATGGTCCAGCGGGCTGAAAAGCCTCTGACCCCTTGATGAGTTTAAAAGCAAGTCGCGAAACCTGCTCCTTCTAGCGCAAAGGTCAATCGTTCATTTGCTTAGGTCTAGGTGTTTTGTCTAGAATAAGAATTTTCTTGATAGGCTCCTAACTATCAGTCTACCTTCATCTTTCTTTCCACGGTAGATCAATCCAGCCAAGCAAAACTAAGCCAAGGGCTGGCCTCTGCAGCACAGCTGTTACGAGAGGGCTACTTGGACGCCAAGAATACTGGGGTAATGAAACTGCGAGCGGCAATTCTGAGATATTGGAAAACACTCTACTCAGTCACCCTCTCTGATCGTCGCAGTTGACAAGCCGAAGCAGGTGACCTGTCGACCGGCTTCTGGGCGCGGGGTTTCGGCATCAAAAAATGCTTGGATTATCATATTTGGCAGCTGTGACGTGCACACGATGTCCTCTTTTCAATATCCCTAGTGCCTCGCCAGTTGGATCACCATCTAGCCGGTATAGATTGACAAGAGAGGGGATAAAACAAGAATTGGACCGGCTCTTCTCAGCTTAGAGGCATTCAATTCGCGCAATCATAGGGGCGTATTCACAGTGGGCCAGGAGGTGCGGACACGGCTTTGGGCAACAGATATAACCGCGATTCTGGCTCCTACCGGCTGGGCGATAAAGATACCCGTTCTAAACGTGGACTCGTAATCACGTGAAGACTAGACCCCTTTTGCCCTCACTTCCGCGTGCATGTCGGCTGCCGCATTCGCGTTGAGTATGGCGTGAGGATGCACATGGGTAAATGCCGGGATAGCTAGGTCCAGGGCTTGGGTGAAGGTCACCTGATTTTATAGCTAGCCTCCAGCAAGGGACAGAACCGTCTTCCGTCTCAGCATCGGCTATTTCAAGCTGGACTGGGCTGGGTGGCTCGTGACACAAGTCACGGGCTGAGTGATGGCACGACGTTGAATTTCTTCAATTGCGAGTCAAAACATGATCATCTCCCGTTTCAAGGGATCCCAATCGCCAAGCCGTGCTGCTAAAGGCTCTTCATGGCTGCCTTGCAGGCCAATAGCGTGGGGCCGCATGATTGACAAGCGATGCGTGAGGCAAGACCACACGCTGCGGCGTGCAACTGTTTGCGAAGCAAGCCGGCACAAGATAGTCGACAGTGGCGCCCCAAAACACGTCTACGACTGCCATTGATACGCTCCCGACAAATGCACGTTCTATCAGTCTGGGAATCAGACCTCTGCTGCGGCTAGGCTGCAGCCTGGGCTGGTTTTGAATTTAATTCAATTTAATTTGTACTATGCCATGTGGCCATGACACATGATCTCGGTCGAGTGCGCGCGTGGAATGACTATTGAGACTTTCGAGACGATCATGCTCTGGAGTTCCTTCGCAACTACTGCTCAGGAGTAAGTTGCTCCATACAGTACAGTCAAGCCTTTGATGACAGTGCTCATCAAAGCAGAGTTTCGAACCTTTTATCTGCCCCGGCTTGAATTCGCCATCTTAATAAAGATACGGTCCACACTATCTGTGGGGAAAAATTGACATGGAGGGGTATATCTCGTTAACTACAGCCAGGGGTCCGTTTGTAAATCCTGGAACCTTTCCTAATCTCAGATTAAAAAGGGTCTAAAATTCATGTTCTTATCTTATCTTCGACACCAAGGGCACCAGCAGCATAAGTATTGTAGCCGAGTCGTCATGAACTTGAGCCTGCTATCCACCCTCTGCGGTGATCATATCACAATATGAATGAGAAAATCTGTGCTGAGATATTGAGGAAGTGGAGACACAGGGGTGTGAGTAAACGGTGGACATAGAGTATATGGGATGGGTAGTGCAGTTATACATCATTCTAACCGTTCGCCAAAGAAGAATTTGGGCAGCTTGAACACTTGACTTACCTGAGACAAGAGAAGGCTAGTTCGAATCCGGCAACACCCACACACCACTATCTATTACGGTGATATTGTACTTGTTGGGTGACTAAAACACACTCGGATAACCTTGAGTTTTCATACTTTTACCAGTAGTGGGTGTCCGTGGAAGAGGCTGTATGCCGTAAGGGTTAAGCTCAAGTGTTATCTGCAAATGAAGTGTGAGTGTTCCCGACCCCCAATTGAGTCATTCCACATAAAATAAATACCTTCTGAAAATGCCTTCATGGGCCTTGATTCCTCAAATCGAGTTCATGGAACAATTTACTTTGTAGAATAGAATAGTTTGTTTGATGCAGTAGTACAAAATTCTGTATATATGAGTTTAATACTGAGGGTGGGAGGGTGCTACTCCTAACACCTGTCAGTGGTACCGCCTACGGACCTCTAGCTCTCACTGTAGAGTCTGCAGAGCCGAGATTGAGTAATAAAGTCTCTACTTCGATGAGGATTCTCATTCGCTTTCGCGGTCTGTATCGTCTTCATCTCTCAACACATTCCCCCATCACCATTATCATGAAGCTAACTGCAATCAGATCAGATGTAGAAAGATGTGCGCACCTCATGTGGTCCCGGTGTCTAGGCCTCGCCTGGCTGGGGCTGCAGGTTTTTTGAGACTTTTTCCCGCGCACGCAGTTTCCATTGCTACTTTTTTTTGGGGGGGTCGAAGGTTCCGTGGAAATAGTGGCTGCATTTCATGGGTAAATAGCGAGCTGAATGGCTATTCATCACAGGCAACATATCAATGATCTTTGAAGTAACAAAAGAAGATAGGAGCACTGTACAAGATATGGCCTGGATTAGAGAGGAGCTCAATGTGCTAGATAGTCTATGGCTCAAATATGACAGTAATCATACATCTCTCTTAAGATTTAGTCCTAATATTGGTATTAGAAGAGCCCGACACCTATTGGCTTTTGCGATGTTACCGACCATCACACCCCTGCAAACGGCTGAGGAGGGAGGTAACAAAGGGCAAAGGGCTCTAATTGTATGATCGGATGGGGATTTGTGTGGAATGCTACTACTTGAGGGAAGCTGTATGGGAGGCATAGAAATGGATATACTTCTAGATAGGTATGCTTGAACTAGAGATCAGGGACCTGCATGTCCAACATACTCATAGACTCAGAAAGAAAAATAAAATGAAATAATAATTGTAAATTGTACCAGCAACAACCCATCTATCGCGTCGCCTACTCTCACGCAATAGAGATCGTAGCCCACTAAACTCGCCCAAGCTCAGTAACTTACTTCTGGGGCTTCATATTTACCCCATCAACACAGTTATCACGCCTGGCTTAATCTAGGCTAGCTGTTCTTCTGTCTACCGCGTCTCTCATACTGACCTAGTTAACTACATCTGTGTGCTGCGACTCGAAGTTATCTACGAGTATCGATGGAAATATAGGCGTGTAGGGAAAAACAATCTTCAATGTGAGGAGTTCTTTCCAAAAATCCAAATTTCACTCTCAAGGTTTTATACATTGAAAGCGTCAGCTCTCCTGATGTCCCTCACGCCCGCCTCAGATATCGGCCTCCTAGATTCGCGCATCAAATAATTCTGCTCGGGCAGCAATTCATACTGTCGTGGCCGTATACCTGAAGCTAGCTGTGGCCAGA